TAGGTGTACTGGTGTGAGATGGAAAATAATATCTGCATGGCGAAACTTTGTTAATCACACCTAGCCGGTACCAAACTTATATCTGGAAGAGAGTTGCGAGGAAGAGATGGCATAAATATCAGTAAATTATAATGGTCAAAAATAGGGAGTGATGTCTGCTAATCAGTCACAGCTGTTAACTCCAAAACCACCTCCAGTAAAATAGGTGGTAAGGCATCCAGAGCTTCTCATGAGGTGTTCCATCAAGAGGGCTGTTTAGTCACCACCAGATGTGGGATCACCTCTGGTAGGAGCATTAAAGCTTATAGCCTAACAAATTTGAGTTAGTGTCTTCTCGAGGAGCAACTGGGTGCTAGAGGGGCATGTATGAAGTATCCACTAACACTTGGTTGATATCACTAACAAAGGCTCCATACTACTGGTTGAAGGATCACAGTTCCTTGGAACATGTTGAGTTCTCCCTCAATTTATTTCAATATTTGGTGAACATCCATTGTCTTTTGCTAACTTATATATATATTTCTTTCATAACATTCTATAGGCTATGTTTCTTGATAAGACTAATTGACAAACAAAACTTAACAGTCATTTACACATAGCAGATCTGTTTTTGAGGCTAATCTAGTTAATATATATTAGGATAATCTCTGAAAGTTATGTTTAACTTAGTCTCCATCGTACGAGTAAGATTGAAAAGTATGATGCTTGTATGAAATGCAAGTGTTATGGATGCAGTCTTGATGGCACTCATGTTGCATGTAAAGCAGTCAGAAAGAGAAGTCATCCAAAAGTTAGAATTCAACCAAAAGATTACAAAATCTGTTACGCAGAAGAAATATTAAGAATAATATACCGTTTTAATTAATTATGTTATTTATTAATAATGAAAAGTCCAGTCTACTTATTTGTAGTAAGTTATTTATTTATTTCATAATATTCTATAGGCTATTTTTGTTGATAAGACTAACTTGGTTAGTTAGTCAGGCAGTACTTTTAATTTTTGACTTCACTTTGTTTTGTTAATATTGGAGGAACTGTAACAAGTAAATGTCTGTTAAGTTTTGTTTGTCCAACTCAAGTCTCTAGAAAATTCGAGAAATCAAATCAAGTTTAGACAATCAGGAGATTTTTAGGCATCACCTGTCACCACTACATTATGCCAAAACTCTCTCTATGAAAGTTTATGAAATGTCTAAATTAAGATATTAAAACATAGTTTCCAATATGCAACACTGCTCCTCCCTGTTTTTAAGTCCTCTAAATAAACCAAAAACACAAATAAAGCAGCAATATACTAAACTTCATATTCCATAATAACCAGTAAAACACTTTTATAATTAACATTGTTAATATTCGTACATTTAACATTACAATTATCCAAGCTATAATAAAATATCCAGAGCACAAAGTACAATATTAACTTGTACCTACTAGACAGTATTTCGTTTGTTGCTGATTTAAATTGCCTAAATTATCCTGTCATCAAATATTTTAGGTTGTTCTTTTCTCTATACCTCATGGTACAAAGATTAAATGGCATTTTGTTCTTTATTATCACGTGTCATCTAGTCAATGAAGGAATACTCTCCAGGTAGATGGTCCTGTGAATCCACAGTTGGCTCCATTTTTGATGATACTCTGGAAGTTGTCTCCACAGGAGTTTCAAGCTCTCCAACAAGTCAATCTACTTCTGGTAAAGACTTCACTGAGGTTAAGCAACTGAGTACTCTCCATCACAATCCTTTCAAAGGAATCATGAGGGATGACCCTTGGTTTGGAAGGTCTCTTCTGGAATCTGCTCTATTACACCCCAGATCAGCTGTCTTCATTACATTCTGTCCGTTTTGTTGTGACTTGAAGTCCAATCTCTGTCAATGTAATTGTCGTATTGTGCATGATGATTTCCTGATTGTAGACTGTGAAAGTACTTGAAGCTAGTCTAACCTCACATTCGTGATTCTACATGAAGTCAGTTCTCAATAAGCACTCTCCCTCAATTACATTATTCATATATCATACCATCTAGAGAACTTTCCCATAGTGAGAGTGACTTCGAACTCTTTACTTGCTGGAATTTTATGTCCACTTGTTGTTCACATCCACACACTTCTTAATTTCTAGAAGCAAGTTCCCACCTTTAAATACCAAATCGAATCAAACTATTCTAGCCCAAGAATCAGTGTCGATTAATTTACTATAAGTCTTCCAATCAATCAACTAGTAACTTATGGACTGGTTTCTTTAGATAATACACCCCTTATGGGTAATTTTTGTCATCAAGATATAGTGGTTCACTATAAATGGGTATTATCTCCAAGATTGTGAAGATAAATGGCCAATTCCTCACAAATTTGTTTTTCACATTTATGGTAGTTTTCCTGTCATCATTTGGAAGCAGTTTTAAGAACATGTCCTTCGAAATGTTTTGTGACTGACTTCTTACATCCTGAGTAAACAGTTCTTTAATTAGAGGCTTTTGTCTGCAGTTTCTAGTAATATGCCCTTTTAAGTTGCAATTAAAGTACCTTTTGTCATGTGATTAACGTTTTACATTCTGGTTAACAATTGCTTAATAAATTGTTTGAGCTTATCTAAACATTTATTAGAGAGTGATAATGTTTCTATTCTATTGTATTCCTAGATGATGATTGTAGTTGCTTATCTATGATTGTAATGGATTCAAATTCCATCGCAATTGAAATTTTCTTTAAAGATGTACATCAACTTTACTTTAGCCTAATTCACATGTCCTCATCTACTATGGCATTTATGAAGTGGTCATGTGCCAACAAAACCATCATTTTTCACATATCATGCAGATAACATAAATGAGCAAGACCTTCTAAATTTTCTGCAAATTCTCATAAGGTCTCATCTCTCCTCTTTATTCTGCTCCTGAACTTTGTTTTGAAAAATTCTTTCTCATGTTTCGCTTCAAATCTATTTGATAAGACAGACATCAATTCATGATAGTTGTTATCAGCTTGAAGATTGTTTATGTTGTTAAACTGGTCCTTTTAAATGAGCAACAGTATGAATAGCTTTATGTTCACTATTCCATTTATTAACTTTGAAAATTATTTTGAACTGAGCCTCATATGCCTTTCATGGTACCTTTCTGTAACATATGTTGATTTCTCAATTACACAATGCTGTCCAACTGGCTTGCTAAGTTCTAGAACTTGATGAGATAGTGATCTGGCTGCAATATTCCAGGAAGGTCCTGTCGTCATAAAAGGTTACAGGTATAGAATAAATGGGGTTTTCTATTCCATATTTCATATTTAAAAGTGTTTGAAGATGGAATTCTTGGACAGATGCAGAGAGGTGTAGCTAGTTTGGTCATTGAATTTGCCAGTCCATTTTCCAGATGTTTCATTCTAGTCTTGATTTTCTTTTCTACCTCAATTGTTCTGCTGTTACAAAATTTTTGGACTTCATCGGTGTATTTTTGTACTTCTTTGATGCTTCTTTATATTTTATTGATGACTTTATGTACTTTGTTGGTTTCCTTTTGCATTCTTTTATTTTATCATTACAGTCTTTCTTGCAGTCATTTACTTGTTAAATCTTCGCTCGTGTCAATGGAACAACCTCAACAAAATGTACGTCACTGAATTATAAATTAACTAACTCACTCATGGACTAATTGGATGACCCACTAACTGACTAACTAACAACTACATCTTTGGTGTTTTTATACAATATTTGTTTTCCCCAAGCCCCTAAAAAATTCGAGACATTACGCAAAGTTAGACACTCGGGAAATTTCTAGACATTACATGTCATCACAATATCATGCCAGAAATCCCTGTTGTAGCCATTTTTATTATCTTTGATTGTTAAATATTTGGCAGACTTAGATAAGATAAATAAGACCTCAACTAACGAAAATCATCAAATTTAGTTGAATAATTTCTTGTTTCTACTAATTTCACAGCGTGTTCCAGATGTGAGAAGTATGTAAAAAACCATGTAAATCTGGTTAAAATTGAATGGATCTGGATAAAAATAACCTTGCTTTGGGAAGAATTTTCGTCAAATTAAACAACCTTTTGGGAGTTTCATTACATTTTTTGAAGCAAGAACTCAAACCTAAGCTTATGCAAAGTTTTACATGAAAAAGTGATTTAGCGGATTTTATCTTACTTGAAGTTATCACTAAAAAATTGCTATCTTTGTAAAATCAACTCACAATTTTAGGATTAATAAACCTTTGAGATGTAAAGATTAGAAAGATAAAATAAAACTTAACTGTAATAATCTATATTTTCAGCCAGAAAATGGGAAATTAATGAGCCTATTAGACCCAAATGTGTATGCCACAAAGAAGACTATTGCTCAGGGAATGCTCGATGTGGCTTTATTTACAGCCAATGCTTCACAGTTGAAGTATCTACTCCACATGGGAACACGCCATGAATTCTATTATCTGTTGGTTACCCTTATCAGCATATCTATCATCTTACAGGTCAGTATTTTGTAGTAATGTAATATTGATGATATTGTTTGCCTCACCTGAATTTGTGGACATGCCCCTTGCAGAAATTTGGGTAGCTTAGTGTGAATAGAAAATAATGAGCATATTTAACACTGTTGTAATTTCGTGTGTATTTCATTATATGTCAAATTAAAATAAATTAAGTATAAAAACCTGTAATACAAATGGCTGGGCTATCCATTTAAAATTGTTAATGAAAACCAAAGTTACTCTCAAGGCCAGTATTTACAGTATGGTATTGTCAGATTGACTGATTTCCCTTAAAATAATTGTTTAGGAACACGGGATAACTGGAGTCTCGCCAGAAAATCTATTGCAGAGCAGAAATCTGACTTTCTGTGACCTCCACTGAGTCTGACACAAAGAAAAAACTGGGCATGATTTAAATTGTAAAATCTTTATTTAATTACACACAACAGTTGAAGTAAACGACGAGTGTAAGTGTAGCACCTTTGCCGGAGAGAGATGTAATGTTAAGTTATGCGAAAGCTCTCAACAATTCAAAATGCTGTTAAGCTCTAGTTAAGTCAAGATAATTAATTTAAATCTCAAAAAGGTAAGTTATTGAAACTGTTCACCCAAGTTGTTTCACATTGGGAAAAAATGGCAATATATATACTTGCAAGAACAATCTATTCTTCTTGGGGTGCAGGTGTTACCCAACTGATTGATGAATACTCACACTTTAAAGCGGGAGATGTTATATTGCTGGAGCATCACCTGACTTGCAAATACAATTGTCACTTTCTAAACAAGATCTAATATGTTACATCAATCTTTCCTATTACAGACACACTTATTGAAGGCTCTAGCCCATTGAATAACTATGGCGAGAGTAACTTAGTGGTTCCCTTGACCAACCTTCTATATTATGACCAAAATTATATATATATATATATCAACTAAAGAGTACGAAATACATGTTATGCTTACATACAACATATCTCTCCTTTAACTTCAAGCCGATCTAGCCATCTTTAACTTTAAAAACTTAAAACTAATTTTAACATCTTGCATATTGGTTAAGAAATTGATAGAACTTGCTTTTACCTCTGCAAACCACTTACACCACAGTATATATAAATCAAACATGAAATACGCAATACAAAATATCAGAAAAACAAAATATTCAGTATACATAGATAAAAATTGAAAGATAGCTGAAACTTAAGATTGGAATTAAATAGATTGCAACATCACATCAAAACTGAAGAAAGACCAAATTACAAACTTTAAACATCCTTAATAAAGGAAAACGTAATGGTAACATCATATTAATACACAAAAATAATATGAATAATCAGAAATAATATAAATACATACAAAGTGCAGTATATAGCGGTTTAGAAAAAAAAAGAAACATTTACTTTGAAATAAAATAATGAAAATATCCTTATACATAAATTAGGAATCAAAATAACTATTTACAGCCTTCATCGTGTAATAGTTGAGGTAATAAGTGGTGTCTTACTGATCAAAATTGATCCTATGATGACGTTGAAAATGGAAAGGACACAATGGTTCCCAGAGCCTTGAGGTAAAGTCATGGTAACGGTCAAGCAGAATCTGCATATGGAGTAACTCACCAGTAGAACGTTTTCCTCACGAGTGCTACAGTCAGGCTAAAAAATCTCCAAAGGGTTTGATGTTCCAGTATGTTCTTAACATCATCAATCAGGTTGTCTTCTTCTGGGTAGTGACATTGCAGTGAGATTTGAACGTGTATGTAAAACTTCTGGCAAATCCAATCTGAAATAAGGTAGCCACAAGAATCAGAGATGCGTTCATAAATAAAAGTCAGTAATGATAGATGTGTTGTCACATTAATTCTGAAGTTTGGCTAGAAGTTGTCGATTTGAATGTTGTAATGCTCCACTCAAATGACATTGCTACATGCTAGCATGTACTTATCCGTATATTGCCTGTAGAGGTTCCTTTCCACCAGGCTTCATTGGGTCTTGACCAACATCCATCCCTTTATTTATGTTATTGCCATGTTACCAGCTCACAGCTATCATGGAACCCACATTCCCTTCATTACTGTCTGTTTGTTGTATAAACAGAACCCAGGTTCAGTAACATTGATTTCCTTACCATGTAAATTCATTAAGAAGATCATTTTGTTTCCTTTCAGACTTCTCTAAGATACAAGTTTGTCACAGCTAACGCAATACTATATGAGTGTCACTTCTTGTATCCAGTTGTTCACTTACAGCCAGCACTTTCATGTAAATCAACTACACCTTGAACTGAAATAACGTTAAAAAGACTATGTGCTTCTCAAAATACTTGAACCTACATGATTGAAAGTATTCAATCAGAACCAGATAGAATATTGGATACACCAAGCTTACATTTGGCATGACAGGAGATGCAGATGATTTCACCTATTCATTAATATTCAAACTCAATTTAATTGAAATACTAATTGCAACATTTAGCAAAACAATGGGTCAGACTGTGTTTTCTTACAAGCGTGGCATGAGTCTAGCCATTACTCCTATCTTTTCCATGAAAAGTTACTATGTGCTGAATAATTCAGTATCAAAACTAAAACATTCTCTTACCATTATACTGTGATTTACAGAACAGTAATCACAGTAACTTAATACCTCAAGGTCTTAAAATCCAGATCAAATGCTTTATTTTCATTTACATGTTGCATAATTTTTTCCTCTGTGTAATTGATCCGTTTGTGTTATACAACACTCATGTACATTAGTAGCTTAACACAAACTGCCTCCAGTTTTCCTTCATCACACCTAACATTTTACATAACTCAGAACAACTGGATGTTAAAATTAGGTGCCTGATCCATGCAAATTTCTTCAGGTCATTCAAATGAAGCTATTCAGTGCACTACCAAACACAACAGCTATAGTCGTCTGTGTTAAAATACTGATCAATAGATAAGCTTTGGCCACTTGGTGAAGCAGTTGATGGCGGCTAATACGTACTGATTACCTCATTCAACTTCCAGAAGTGGACTAGTCACATCCATGGCTATTTTCTAGAGAGTAAAAATAACAATCCTCTGCTAGAGTTTACCTTATTTATGACAGCTGTTTCTCTGGGTTGCACACATCATGCAGTGCTGACACATGTGCTGAACATTTCAACTCGACTGCACCAGTAGAATTGCTGTTGAACATTAGCACAAGTATGGGCAACATCTTAGAACCCTCTAGTCTTTTTATTATGTAACATCTGGAGAATATTGTGCCTCATAGCTCTAAAGACTACATCATAGGCTGATAACCACAACTCATAGGTTGATAATGATGGTACAACACATCTTCATAAACTCGTAATTGATCATAGAAGTGTTATACATTATATGTATCCATGCTACAATCATCAATCTGTGCTAGCCATACTTTAACTTACTGCACGAAAAGAAATACCCAAAGTGTTATTCATGACATCGAGCCATTTGTAAGATCACCTTCTATATGGCCTGGCATTGCCATGGTGGAAATCATTTCAACACCCTCATGGTCTCCAGGGTCAGCACATTGAACAAACAGAAAAGATCTTCCCACATGGAAACACAATCCACTTGTGTTTTCATGCTATAGAACCAGACAATGCCTTATGATTACTTCATGTTTTTGTAACACTGTTATTTAATGTGTAATTGTTCCTTCCAGTCCATCACTAATTTTAGTGGCATATGGTCCACCAGAATGGTAAACTTTCTGCTATAAAAGTGGTGTAAATAGTGTTTCATTAAGACTACCATTGGAAGCAGTTCTTTGTTTGTCATATGGTTTCTACGTTCAGAAGCCATGAGTGTATAACTAACATATACAAATCACATATTCTACTTTACCTCGTAACTGTAATAACACTGCTCTGATTCTACTGTCACTGCCATTGGTATCCCACAAGAACTCACAATCCTTTTATGGATACAGTAGCACTGGATTTTCTAGTAAAGAATGCTTCTGGTACAGGAATGATTGCTCACTTTCGTCACTCCTTCTAAAGTTGGCCTCGAGTTTAGTGAGAGCCAATAATGGCACAGCAATCTTAAAGAAGTTGGTCACAAATAATAAGCAATATAAAGCAAACCAAGAATCTGTGGACTTTTTTCTTGATCACAGACTGAGGCATCTGTCACTGCTGCTATATTAGCAGGATCCATGGAGACTCTCTCTCTCTCTACCCACAATATGCCCGAGAAATTCCCCTTCCTGATTTCAGCTTCAAACCTGCCTTTTTTGTTCACTAGAATATCATTTTCGGGTTTTCAGTCCAAGTGTCAAACATACGACTAAACACCAAGACATTGTCGACGTAGATCAGGCACTTGTCCCATTCCAACTTCTTCAGTGCAAGCTCCAATAACCTCTAAAAAGTGGGGTGATTACACAGGCTGAATGACATGATTCAAAACTCATACAAGCTAAATGCAGTTTTAGGTCTGTTCCCATCTTCTAGTTCAGCTTTCTAGTATTTGGATGTCAGGATTAAACTGTTAAAGTACCATGCTCCTTCCAACATATCCAGCCGTTCATCTGTCCAGAGTAGTGAAAGGCCATCAAAACAAGTTAATGAATTCACCCAACTAAAATAAGCACAGGACCTTGGTGTGCCATCTTTCTTTCTCACAATCACCACTGGTAACACTAAAAACTCTTGATAGTTGTATGATCCCTTCCTTTATCACCCACTTTGTTTTAGCACTTGCTACATGCCTAGTTCTCCAGGGAAGCCTATGTGGTTTGGGGACAAAGGCTCTTGGCCAACACCTGGCTAAAATTCCCCAGGGTACAGTGTCAAAGGGATACACAGGAACCCCAACATTAATACAAGTGGTAAGGCTTTGCTCTAGAGTGGCAGACCTTATCCATCAGAACTACATCCACTTTCCTGTGGCCAGTATCAACTGACCTTGACTGGAGCAGAGGTTGCATTACACTGGCTGTTGAAGGCCTGGGAGTTTACCCCATATAGTTTAGAACTCACCATACACTATACTACCGCGATGACCCTCAGCCATGCGTGCTTTACTCTGATATCAGTCCTCAATGGAAGAACTCAGTTGGTCATTTTGAGTACACCACATGTCGGCAGTTCTTCCTGACTCTGTGGTTGCAGTGATATAGAAATCATAGACCTTTTCAGCATCAGCTAAAGTCCCATGTCCAAGAGAACACTTCTTCTGGACAGGATATCACTCTCAGACAATCATCTTCTTTCTGTAACCAACTCTTTTGCTTGTTCGTAAATCCTTCTATTTATGGAAAATGCATTCCCAACTAAAACAAAAACGTTTTAAGCTTAATAGTAGAAGAGTAGAAGTAAAGGGGAAAATACACGTCGGAAGAAAAACACTCTGCTACAATATATCCTGTAATCACAACACCAAAACGTTCTCCTTCCTACCTACTTTGCATAATTTGCAGATAAAACTGATTTCCCCAAGAATGAATATGATAGTTCTGCAGTATAACAAGAGATTCGACTGGGAAATATACTACAAAGTATTCTGAATTATCTGAACTTGGCCGATTTTGTGAGAGAAAGAGACTGGACACAAATATAAAACACACAGAGATAACAATTCTTATTTATTATCGACAACACTGTGTATATTTTAGATGGAAAAGTGGACAGTTACTCTCTGTAAATCTTTCTAAGTTTATATAAATCTTTGAATATGTTATAAAACTAAGATATGCACATTATGTTGAAAAGCTCTTTATGCTTTGTACGCTTTGTAACAACACGGTATATAAATATGACTATAACGTCATGTTTTACATGGGTGATTTCAACTACTCATGTAGCAGTTGGTCCTTTCCATTAATCATAATGAAAGTTGCAGACTTTAGATATCACCTGACCTGCCAATGGAAAAAGTTGTTGACTACACTTATATATAGCATGGTTATTCTTGCAGAAACATTTCCCATGGTAAGATAAAGATGTTAATTTAGGTGTATGACACACAACAATAAATATCTAGAGTGAAAAAACTTAATGGCTTTCTTGACCAACCCGAAATAGTGAGTAAAAGTCTGAATATCTATATTAAAATAAGAGGCAGCGAACACAAGGCGTGCCTCCATACCACAACTCTAACCATGATCATATTTCAGCAATCAGATATATGAAGCCTATATCATGACCAAATGATACTTTAACCACGATGATATTTCAGCAATCAAATATATTAAGGATACATATTATGACCAAATGATGCAATAACCACAATGATTTTTCAGAAATCAAAAGCCCTCAGTGACACAGCGGTGTGTCTGCGAACTTACAACGCTAGAATTCTGCTTTCGATACCTGTGGTGGGCAGAGCACAGATATCCCATTGTGTAGCTTTGTGCTTAATTACAAATAAACAATCAAACAGAAATCAAATATATTAATAACACGTATTATGACAAAACAGTCTGTAACCAAGACAGGAAGATATTTAGATATATATTAAGATCCCATATTATGATCAAATGATACAATAGCCTAGATGATATTAAAGCTATTAATTATGTTAAAAACACATACACACAGTTCCTAATATTGAGTATAAACAGTATAGTTCTCTGTAAATATCACACTCTTTTCAGGCTCGGCATGGCCAGGTGTTAGGGCGCTCGACTCGCAATCTGAGGGTGGTGGGTTCGAATCCCCGTCACACCAAACATGCTCGCCCTTTCAACCGTGGAGGACGTTATAATGTGCGGTCAATCCCTCTATTCGTTGGTAAAATAGTAGCCCAAGAATTGGCTACCAAGAGTGGTGATGACTAGCTGCATTCCCTCTAGTCTTACACTGTTAAATTAGGGACGGCTAGCGCAGATAGTCCTCGTGTAGCCTTGCGCGAAATTCAAAACAAACAAACAATACTCTTTTCAGTTCTTAACCTTTGTATTACCTAGTATTCACTTATTTCACTTATTTGCCTACTATCGTGTCCTAAAGCTTGCATAAAACTGATACTTCTGTAACATGATTGTTCATAATAATATTTCTAATTCGAAGAGGAGTTACACACACATATAGATTTATTTATTTGTTGATCTCGACTTGTACAAGGTACTTACAATAGTCAGTTCCTACTTGAAGTGTTAGAATGCTGACTGGGCAAGACATCCAGTGAAATATGCTTGTTCTTCTATCACACTGGAGTGATTCTGCATCACTAATCTGGCCAAGAGTTTGCCTTTTATGATTTTAAAATACAAAATTCAAAGTCTAAGAAAACTAACTCTATTACAGTATCAATGTAGAACAGTACTAGAAATACCAACTTACAACGTGAAGTGTCATTCGCACATGAACGTAAACTGTCATTCACACGTGCACGCAAACTGTTTGGAATCTGAAGATATAAAAGTATTAGGCTTAGTAATCATATCTATTTGACTTCTAGTTAGAAATGTTATCTCGCTGTACACAAAATTAATTCATTTTCTATATGAAACAAAGGTTAGTAAAACTGTAGTTAAATTATTTAACTGCAAGGATCATCGACCCATCCATTATATTGCGAATGTGAATTGAAATGTGCACAGTTGAGCTGTTTGTTTGTTTTCGAGCAAAGCCACATTGGGCTATCTTCTGTGTCCCCAGCGGGAAATCGAACTCCGGATTTTAGCGTTCTAAGCCTAAGGTACTTACCGCTGTCCCACCGAGGAGACTTTTGAGCTGTTACGCCAGCAGCTTTAATTAAATATATGTATAGTACCTTAGAAACATAGAGACAGCTTCGCATATACAGCACCTTAGAAACGTACAAACATAGAGATAGTTTTATATGTATTCTACCTTAGAAATATAAAAACATAAAGGCAGTTCCAGATGTATAGTACCTTGGAAACTTATCAACACTGAGACAGCTCCATTTGTATAGTTTATTAGAAACGCAGAAACACCGCTATTCGTGTAATACCTTAGAAACGTAGGAACATAGAGACGACTCCATATGAATAGTATTTTAAAAAGTAGCAACATATAGCCAGGTCTATATGTATAGGTTCTTCGAGAGATGGGGAAATGTAAAAAGTCCTACATGTACAGTCCCGTACAAACGTAAGTAACAAATAACTATATATGTATGGTTCTTTAAAACCGTGGAGTAACATAAACAGTGGCAACCTGAAATTCATATCCTTAAACATATAGGGTTACCATAAACAACTCTCTATGTAGAGTTACTTATAAGCGTGGAGTAACAAAAAAAACCAATGTATATAGTTCCTTACAAGCATGGACGTAACATAAACAGATCCGTAATGGTAAAATGAACAGTTCCATGTGTATAATTACTTTAAAATTTGGAGTAACTTACAAAAGATAGATGTTAAATAAGCTTCAGTGTGTCCAATAACCATATGTGTATGTTTGTGGGCGTGACGCTAAAGATCACTAACTCTTTTAACAGTTTAAGATGCTTAGAAACAGCCATCCTGTATGTTAGAATAACCACTGCATGTGAGTATAGCTCTAACTAACACTGACTTTTACAACATCTACATGTTGGTATAATTACTACCTTATACCGATGAACGAGAAAATAATCGTTTCGTTACTCTGGAGAATCTCGAGAATTCATTTCGTAATTTAGTTCATTTTACATAATTTAAAACGACTTTTATCACACGTCTATGTAGATTTCGGCAGGAGTAGTGATCGTGATGAAGAGTCGTTTCAACATCAACAAAGAATGTTATCAACTTCAAGCTGATTCACTGAACAACGCCCTCACGTGGATAATTTTTGGTTTAACTGTGCTCAACCTTTTTATATCGTCTTTCGGAGTAGACTTATCATCCTCAATGGTCAACACACCTTTAGCCTAGAAAGGAATTGTAAATATTACCAAGTTGTCGTTGTTGTAAAAGATTATAATTTCATTTCAGTGTGAAAAAATAAATCAAATAATATATATATATATATATATATGTGTGTGTGTGTGTGTGTGTGTGTTGATAATAATTTACTATTCTCTTTAGATCTTGATCGGAGCGTTGTTCATAGTTATTGGTCGCTTGGATGTGAACAGGGAGAAGCACCAACCACGAGCTAACAGCCTCAACAATATCATTACTATTGGGATATTTGTCATAACCATTGTCAACATTCTCATCGCTAGCTTTGGTATGAAGAACAGCGACAATCTTGCCACGATTTTGGGAAATACATCATAAAAATTGTAGGTATTTTTTGGGGGGGGGAAGAATTCGACCAGTTATTAGGAATGATCTTATTTTATGGCCGAAGACGCTACTTTTTGAACGCAGATTACAATAATATAAATGAATAAAACAGTGATCCAAACTTGATATGTGAGGAAGACAACTGATATTTTGAGAACCTGGAGCCTTAGAAACTTTTAAAAACAATCCAAAAATTTGTTTTCCGTGTGTCGATATTTTCTCATATGCTCTTATACTTTATCTATGTGAGGATTTGTTTCGCTTTCCTTGATGTTTTTTAATCATTGTTTTCTGATATAAGTGGACCGAGCGTGGCTTAGTGGTCAACGTGCTCGGACTTTGGGACCAGGAGTGTACAGTAAGAGTGACGGCTGAATCCCACTATTCGCTTAGACAAGAGTAGCCCAAGAGTTGGCGATCCCTTCCCACTAGTCAAAATTAGTTAAAGTATTTTTCAAAAACATTTCAATATAATTATTAAGTTTTACACTTATGAATCTCGTTTCATGTTACCTTAGTATACGAAATTAGGACTAAAATAAATCGTTTAAACTGACAGAACATTCTGAGATACTGAGTTTGAGTACGTTATATTAAAACGATTTTGGGGTCTAACCACGTCGTTACAGTCTATGTCACCACATCCAGTGATGTTGTATCTGAAGACCGAACATGCTGATAATATCCTGCAACGTAGTTTCCATCGCAAAAGGCTCATCGCAAGGCTGTCATGTCCAAAGCACACCACACTTCTTTGCAGGTTTTCCACAGTCCATCAAGCTTACGGGGATGAAGGTTTCACATTTTTCGTCAGTTTGTTATATATTATGTGTTGACTTATATGTAACTTGATCTAAAATGTAATTGTCTTACTTTTGGTCAGAAGTTGTCAATAAGTACAAAATATCTGAAGCTATTTATATATACGCTCTTCTTTTTTCTTTTTCTTTTGAAAAAGAAACTGAATAGAAAACTTTTTATAGTGTGTAGTCCAGAAGGCGAAAAAGCACGAGTTCTTTTAGGCCAGAAGATGTAATGAAACGAGAATGTCACTATTAAAGATAAGTTATCATTTTAAAAACATTACCGACATCTTCTCGATCATGAAATGAACTACCCTCTTCACAAGCATATATGTTTATATATATATATTGATTGTTTTTTCTAATTCATACAGTTAAGGTTTAAATTATGATATCAAGACATGGCGATTCAGGGTGTTCTACACATTAAGGTGGATGGCACTACCACTTTAACAGTATTTCCAGTAAGAATACAATGAATTAACACCTCAGATATATTTTATCTCCTGTACAACAATGATAACAAGAGTTATCGTTTCTTTTTTTTGATATTCGTAGTGGTCTAGTTAAGAATGTCATGTTTTAAATTCTTACTAGTCTTATTATGTGTTTTATCCCATCTTTTACCCTAAAATATTGTTTCAAACAAAGAATAGATGTTTAATCAAACACAATCTATACCCGATTATAAAAAATATATATTTTAATGGATGTCTGTGTTTGTAACCTTTGTCGCCTAAGAAATATTTTAGTACATCTTGATATAAGAGAATGGGTAAGATAATATTGTTAATAATATTTTAATACAAGAGAGTGGGTAAGATAATATTGTTAGTAACATTCTAGTACATCTTGATATAAGAGAATGGGTATAATAATTCTTATATCAAGATGTACTAGAATGTTACTAACAATTAATGGGTAAGATAATATTGTTAATAATAGTCTAGTACATCTTGATACAAGAGAATGGGTAAGATAATATTGTTAGTAACATTCTAGTACATCTTGATATAAGATAATGGGTAAGATAATATTGTTAATAATATTCTAGTACATCTTGATACAAGAGAATGGGTAAGATAACATTGTTTTTGAATATCAACAGCTATCTCTCACACATTGTCTGAACACATGGAATATATTCATACAACTTTGTTATTGAAATAACGTAGTGCTCCTCCAAAGATATTGACAAATACTCACCCAAAATTTATTAAAAAACAAGCGTTACCATTCTTGACACCCTCCCACATTAATATATCACACGGCTATAATTTCATATTTAATACATTTTGATTGAAAAAAATAACTATTTCTATTATTTGTTTGTATTATTCGTTTTTTATTTTAAGACTTCGATGAATGACGCAGTTAATTAGGTTTGGTATATTACCTGATGAAGTTTGGTTAAAATAGAAAATAAATTTCATAATGTTTGAATTCGTTATCCATTCAGGTTTACGAAAGTTGAGAAATAAAATTAAAATAGATAAAGCATTATTTTGTATTCAACTACAACAACAGTAGAAAATGTTTAAGATTTCATAATTGACTGTCAAAATATTCCACAAAAGTGTGCATCTTAATTCTCAAGTAGCAGAAGAATATCAAGTAGATATTAATCTACTGGGTTCTATAAGATTTTGGTGGTATTTTCCCTTCACAATGTATAAGCAGATAATAATCTATTGGGCTTTATAAAACAGTGTTGTTGTTTTCCCTTCACAATGTATAAGCAGATATTAATCTCTTGGGTTCTATAAAATAGTGGTGTTGTTTTCCCTTCACAATGTTTAAGCAGATATTAATCTCTTGGGTTATATAAAATAGTGGTGTTGTTTTCCCTTCACAGTGTTTAAGCAGATATTAATCTCTTGGGTTCTATAAAATAATGGTGTTGTTCACCCTTCACAATGTTTAAGCAGATATAAATATCTTTGGTTCTATAAAACAACGGTGTTGTTTTCTCTGCACAATATATAAACTGATATTAATATACTGGGTTCTATAAATTAGTGGTGTTGTTTTCCCTTCAGAATATATAAGCTGATGTTAATATACC